GAAGGCATAAACTCTAGAATGGAGCTCAGGAATTTCCAAGAAATATGTCATGTTGTGTATTTTTTTGAACACAGCTTTTCTTGACAGAAATGGTTGCTTCTTTGATGAAGTTGGAATGCTGCACCTCTTCATTTTTTTTTCTCATTTTCCTGACATTCATCATATAATCCCTATGGCTTATGCACAGAATCAGGGACAACAATTCGTTATAATGGGATTATAGCCTGAAATAATTTCGCTAAAATGACCTTTTTTCAACATTGTGCCTAAGTCAAACTGCCTGTACCCAGAAAAAAATGGTTATAACTATTTTCGTTGTAACTGAATTCTACTTATGAAATATTTTTTTAAATATCTTGATACATTTTTAAGAATATTTCTAGGAATATTTTCCATATATCAACGTTATAAAATTTCATGAAGAGCGTTTTAATTGCAACGAAATTTTCATGAGATCCATAGTAGTTCGTTGTAACGAGATTTTCATGTTCTCATAGAATCACTGTAGAGAGAGAGGTTTCATTCCCCCCCGGTCCTTGCGAATTCGCTGTCAGGATATTTCGCTGTACAATACTTGGAAATCTTCATGAGAGAGAAAGAAAGGTCCCACTTTTTATAGGTTAATGCGGTGAGACCCCCACATGCGGACAACTCGACGTGTGGACAATTCAACATAGGGACACTTATCTTATAATAAGAAATTGATAGAAAAGGCCCAACTTGAGGACACTGACTCAACATAGGGACATTATGTGATACAATTGCAAATACATTTCAGGCCAAATTACAAGAAACAGATATTTCCAACCCCAAAATTGATGTAAGAAATGTTCTTGGGCATTTCTCTCACCANAATTGTTCTCAAGTCTCGCAAAAGCTTTCCGTGCTTTAAAATTAGAAAAAAGGGTTCTTTGGAAACTTGTTTCAAACTCTGACACTGTTTTCACTTCAGTACTTCCCTCGCAGTACTTCAAGGAGTACCTACAAGAAAAAAATATATAAAATTGTTCCAGGCATAAGCCTCAACACTTCACCACTCCTGAATATCAAACACAAATTTCAATATTTAGTTAAAGTTGAGATAAGCTCAGCAGCATTTACTAAATTTCACACAACCACATTTCAAAAGAAACGTCAGCCGTCAAGCAAAATAAAGCAACAGTTTTCACATTATACTTTTTCAATGTAAACCTTTACACTGAGTTGACAAATGACTAAATTAATTGAAGATCTAAACGATTGCAGATTTTTTTTTGCAGCCCAGCTCTGCAAGCAGTTTTTCCTCCCGCCCAACAGACAAAATCCACCAAACCGACTTCTTTTGGTTTAAAATTAGTGTTGAAAATTGAAACTTTCAATTTTCATGTAATTGAATTCTTGTAAAGGACTTTTCGTCTAACAGACTCGTCCTTTGCATGAATCAAGCCTGTTAGACAGGGGTTGACTGTATACAGCAAGACCCCGAGATGCGGACGTAATTGGTGCACCGAGAGTGTCCCTAAGTCAAGTCTCATTTTCCCTTGGACTTACTCACATTATATAATTTTTGATTGGTGTTTTATGGACAAAATACTCACCATAATTCCATGAAAATAAAAATTGTCTCCCAATTTTAAACTGATTCAATCAATATATTTCAACACAATATGGACATTTGGGGAATTGAATACTGATACCTCTGTATACAGTACATGGAAATGTTGGCATTCTCTGTAAAAAATAACATTCAAGTGAAAAAGAGAGAAGGAAGTCCCTCTATGCTGGAGATAATTTTTTTAAAAATTAGCTTAATGGATGATACATTTTGTGAGAGAAATGCCCAAGAACTTCTCTTCCATCAATTTTAGGGTTGGAAATATCGGTTTCTTGTAATTTGGCCTGAAGCTTGATTGCAATTTTATCACAAAATGTCCCTCTGTTTAGTCAGTGTCCTCATGTATGGCCTTTTTTAAGGAAAAAATAAGTTTCCCTATGTTGAATTGTCCGCGTGTCAAGGTGTCCACATTTGGGGGTCTCACTGTATAGTACAGTATTATGAGAGATGAGCTGGGCTGCAAAAAAAAATCTGCAATCCTTTAGATCTTCAATTAATTTAGTCATTTGTCAACTCAGTGTAAAGGTTTACATTGAAAAAGTATAATGTGAAAACTGTTGCTTTATTTTGCTTGACGGCTGACGTTTCTTTTGAAATGTGGTTGTGTGAAATTTAGTAAATGCTGCTGAGCTTATCTCAACTTTAACTAAATATTGAAATTTGTGTTTGATATTCAGGAGTGGTGAAGTGTTGAGGCTTATGCCTGGAACAATTTTATATATTTTTTTCTTGTAGGTACTCCTTGAAGTACTGCGAGGGAAGTACTGAAGTGAAAACAGTGTCAGAGTTTGAAACAAGTTTCCAAAGAACCCTTTTTTCTAATTTTAAAGCACGGAAAGCTTTTGCGAGACTTGAGAACAATTTCTCATTTGTCAAATGAGGAATATGACTCACACAACATTTCAATGCTGAATTTTTAAAAAACCACGGGTCTCTTTATATCGATTTTTCACGGATCCCTGTTATTTCCCTGTAACGGATTTTTTTCTTCAATGAACAGCCTCATTACGGAAACTCTTTTCTTGGCCACAGAATTTTTTCCGTAGGCGCCTTTCATCAAAATATTAAAGGTTGTAATCTCATAACTGTATATAGTAGAATTCCATTAAAACAAATCTCATAACAACAAATTTTTCATCATCACGAATTTTTTTTTCTTGGTCCTGGCAGTTTGCCTTAGGCACAATGTTGAAAGAATCTCGTTTTAACAAAATTATTTTAGGCTATAATCCCATTATTACAAATTCTTGTCCCTGATTCTATGCATAGGCCATAGGGATTATACTGTATGATAAATGTCAGGAAAATGAGAAAAATTAAGAGGTTCAAGTATTCCAATTTTATCAAAGAAGCAACCATTTCTGTTGAGAAAAGTGGTGTGGAAGAAAAATACACAACATGACATATTTCTTGGAAATTCCTTAGCTCCATTCTAGAATGTATGCCTTCCTTTCAAATTCAACAGTATGTTAGAAAAATTGTTCCTTCATTTGAAGAACAGACTGGTATGAATGAATACACTGCTTCAAACAGAAGTACAGTATTTCTTCCACTTGTAATCATTAGACAGTGTTTAATTTTTCAAGACAGACATTTCAGTAGAAAGGAAGGTTCAATGATTGAGGAAAGTACAGTGCTACTTAATCCAAAAGTTTTCCTGTCATTTCATCAGAAACAATTATTATTCATTGAAGGTCTTGAATTACCTGTTTTTGAAGCACTTATATACAGAATCATTTTGAACAAAAAATTCATCTAAAAGTTTGTTGAAAACCCTGAATCCCAGTACAACAAATTTCTCATTACTAGAAATTTTTCATCAGGTCCCTGAGAGTTTGTTGTAACAAGATTTCACTCTAATGAATGTTTGGACCTGATTCTGGACTTTGGCCATGGAGGTTATTTGATGGATGGAACTTGAATTCAAGAAAATTGAATTGGTGCAGAATTCCAACTTGATTGTTGAACAAACTTTATTTTCTGCTTCTTCAGTATTCACAAGGTTCAATCAATGTTCCCACATTCAAACCCACTCTACTCTCCCCACCCACATTCATCCAAACACATTCCCTCACATCATGATGAAAATGAAGAAGTAAGCTGTTGATGGGCATGAAAGAAAATGTTTTAAAAAAATGCACAACTGATGTAAATGCATACACTTTGTTCACCTCAGTAGGTTACAAAAAGGAAATATCAGTAATAACAATTGTGTCATAATGCAATTAGCAAATTCAAAATTAAAGCACAAGCTGTTCAGTCTCCTCCCAGATATGTTTTAGTTCATTTAAGAATTTGGAGAAAATCTTGGAGGAGAAATTGTATAAAGCCAACAGTTTATCTTGGTCGAGAGGCCTTTCATCAAATTTAGAGATCCCCAAATCTTTTTGAAGCTCAGTTCAGTGACTGTGAAATGCTGGGCATAAGAAAAGAAGATGCTCTGGTGATTTAAATTGAGACCCCCAGGTGTGTACACAATTGGTGCATCAAGTGTCCCTAAGTTGAATTGTCCCTAAGTCAAGTCTTGTTTTCCCATAGACTTACATTATATACTTTTTAATTGGTGTTTTATGGAAGAAATATTCTTCAGAATTCCATGAAAAAAATTGTTTGCCACTTGAATTTGATTCAGTGAACATCTTTTCAACCCAATAAGAAAGAACATTTGGAGCATTGAATAGTATACCACTGAAAATTTCATTGAAATGTCGGCATCTGTAAAAATAACATCCAAGTCTAAAAGAAAGAAGGAAGTACCGCTGTGCTATAGGTAATATTTTTAAAATTAGCAATGGGAAAGTGATGGGAAAAGTACCAAAGAATTTTTCTGGCATAGATCTCAGGGTTGGAAACACTGTATCTGTTTCTTGCAATCAAGCCAAATAAAAGTCAATTATCCTGAAATGTATTGGCAATTTTATCAAGCAATGTCCTCATGTCAAGTCTATACCAGGCCTTTTTGATACCTTTTTTTATTGAAAAATAAATGTCCCTATGTCTAGGTGGGGGTGCCACTGTATGTATATTGCAGAAATTACACCACTTTGACACCCTTGAAAACTTAATATTTTTATTCATTATTATTAAAATGCCATGAATTTTTCAATAGAGCTACAATATCATGTACCAAAGAGACATCAGATGATGCAAATAGTTTTAATTTGTTGTAATGAGTTTTTTATAACATCATGCCTATGGGAAAGTTCTGGGACCAATAAAGACATTCATTATAGTGATAAATTCGTTGTAAAGGAATTATACTGTAAATGTGTTTCTGTTCAGTGTGTGTTTCTCACCCTTTTCCCTCAAATTTTCAGGGTTGAAATGTGCTGAAACCATGAATTTCAGTACAAAGAATTTTTTGTGACTCAGATGCCTGGGAGTTCATTGTAACGAGATTTTTGTAATGTGCTACTTGTGCAGCGTTATTGTAGTAGGACTGGGTGTGTTTTTTTTTAATCGAAAGAAAAGAAGTGTGTTTTGTCATTTGGTTGATTTTTATTATATTTTTTGTTTCTTGTTGCCGAAGGGTCGACGACGAGTGACCGGGACCTGTCGCAGTCGCCGGTGTCCAAGACGCCCAACGAGCGGAAGCGGAAGCGACGGGACGCGACGCCGAGTGCGGACCGGAAGGGCAAGAAGATCAACGAGTACTTCTCCAAGGTGCCCAAGTCCGGGGTGTTGCGAGTTAACCAACACCAGCACCTGCATCACCACCACCATCATCACCACCTTCAACTATTGCAGCAGCAGCAAGAACAACAACAACAACAACAGCAACAACAACAGTATCAACATCATCATCACCTGCTTCATGGCCAGGACGACAACCTCGGGAAGCCGCTGGATGGTGGCGGCGGTGCTGCTGCTGCTGGATTAGTCGTGGTTGCCGCCTCGGAGCGGCGGCTGTCCCCGCCCAACAGTGGCGGCGGAGACGGTGGTGGCGGTGGTGGGGTTGTTCCGCCCAGGGGTTCGAGTCCGACGAAGCCGCCAGCGACGACGACGACAGGAGCGCCACCAAGTGGACAACCAATGCAGCTGGTTAGTTTATGGTTGGAATTTGTACTCGCAGGTGTCGCTCCCTGTGCGATCTTCGGGGAAAATATTTGATTCCCGCGCTGGGAAATGTCTCAATATTTTGCGTCAAGAATTATTTACGCTCAAGAAAAAATAATAATACCGTCATTAAAGTCTTTGAATTTCGCTTTTAATGAATCTGGAGGTTTAATTCTTGGGAAGTTCAGAAGTCGTTGCATTCGGTTCTTGAAGCAATTTTTGAATGTTGAAGGAAACGCGGAAGACATTATTTCGCTATATTTACATCATGAACATTTGTTAACATTGGAAAGATTTTGAGAAAAATCAAATGCAGGTGGACTCCTTCTACGACGACATTCGTTCTTTCTAGAGATAAAAATTATTCAACTACACTGAGTCTCATCTTGAGAATGCAAGACTTTTTTTTTAAATAAGCGCGGTCTTGGAAACAATATTCCCTAAATGGAAGAAAAAACAGGTAAGAATGAAAAATTTGCTTTGAAAGGAATTATTTATCTCATGAGTGCTTTTATTATATGTCATTTTCAAAATAAACGGCACAGTGGCCGCTTCAATAAATCCGAAGTGTATTCAAAATTTTTCCTCCTTTTTGGAAAGAGATTTAGCCCATGTCGCTATATTTAGAAATTATGATGGATTTTGAAATTTTAAATTATGAATTAAGAAAAAAATCTAGCTGCTTGCCACAAATTAATTTTTTAAATATGGACCTGTTGAAAAAATTAATTTGTGGCAAAGCAACTCAATATTTTGTTGTGATGAGATCCTACTGTATTGTACTTTACTTGAGTATCTGGCAACACTGCACTTGACTTGTGGCCAGCAGGAAAGTGTCACTCCTGAGAAGTCCCATTGTATAGTACAGTATTTGTATAGGGACCTGTTGAAAAAATTAATTTGTGTCCAAGCAGCTCAATATCTTGTTGTGATGAGATCCTACAGTACTGTACTGTACTTTACTTGCACATCTGGCAGCACTGCGCTTGACTGCTGGCCAGCAGAAAAGTGTCACTCCTGAGATGGCCCATATCACTATAGTTTCTGGATACTTGGCAGAGGCCCCCCCCCCCTCACCCAACACATGGCTGCAATGGGGGTAATCAGCAGAAAAGGGAGAGATGAGCTGGGAATAAGCTGGAGAGAGTTCCTGGGATCTTCTGGTACTATATAGATATTGAAAGAGGGGTCGTGTGTGTCCCTCGCCCCCTGGTGTCACTTGATCACCCACAAGGCTTTTCGGTGGAGGGGGGGAGGGAAGAGAAAAAGAGTAAGAGGATTTGGGTGATTGAATTCCTTCTGGAGCAAAGCTTCTTCTTGATTGAGTTGCCCTGGATGGCATCATCTGGAGTGGATTGCTTGGCTGGTCATTGTGTGCTAATTAGTCATGGGTCAAATTTGACATTTCCTGTTGTGTTTTTTCTTCATCATCATCATCATCTTCTTTTGGGAATAAGATTTGCCTTATGAGTTATGTCATTAAATCAAATATAACCCCCCCCCCCCCCATCCGGATGATTTTCTGTGCTTGGTTTTTCTAGGTTTTCAATTTTTATAGAGGTCTATTTAATCTTTAATGGAAATTTAGCGTAATATCTTGGGAAGAAAAGAGGAACTTGAAAAAAATGAACTGCTTTACTTTCAAAAGTCCAATTTATTTAGAAGAATTATTGAAGCAAACTTATCTGAAAAAACAAATTTCTGAACACGCCATTAAGAAATTTCAAGCTCCCAGAATTGTTAATTTAATGAAGTACTGTACAGTACTTATGAAGGAAGAAGATTTACGCATTTACAATTTGACTCAGAACAGTACAGTGGACCCTTGGTAAGCATACTTCAATGAGGAAAAATCCCTTGGTTACCAAACCAAAATTTGGTTAAAAAACTTGAGGAAAATCCCACATTTTAGAATTCAAAATTTGATTTTGAGGATGAAATGTTTGGTACAATTCCATTGCAAATAATTCACCTATTTGCACTGATGTGAAAAATTCTTCCCCTACTGGCACTCTTAATATGTGTAATCTTGTATTTTAAAGTATTTTTTTTGCTACTTTATTCATATGCTTATCTGTGAAAGATGTACAGTATTTGTTTTCCTATGCTTGGCTTTCTAGTTGTTCAATTGTTGGAAAGTTCTATTTGATCTTCACTTGCAGCATTAAAGAAATAAATTTCATTTTCACCTGACATGTATCTTTCAGTGTGTGTTTCAAAGCCTTTCTCATCTTTGTTTTCATCAGTGCTACTTCCATGTAACACAGTAAGAACATTTTGGGCTCTTGTAAGATGCAGTAACAACTTCCAGTGTTCTGATCATAGGTTATGGTCTTGAAATTTTTAAAATGCGATTTTCAATTCTCTTCTAGGTTCATGGAATGGATTAAATTCCTCCCCATTGAAGTCCATTGCAAAATAACATTTGATTCACAAACTTTTGTCTGGAATTAATTAAGTTTGTTACCCAAGGGTCCACTCACAGAAATCTTTTTTTTAATCAGTCAGCTTTGGCTGTACCAAGGGATTTTTCTTTTCAATCTCCCATGGAAATATGAACAAGTTCTTGTCCATTTTTTCTTTTCAAACTTTCTAAAATTATTTCAGTGACTTGAATAAATTATTGACTGTTTGTGCTGAATTTTGAAAGGTGGATGAGGCGATATTGTGTCCATTGGAAATGCAGAACATTCGCATTTCCAGGAAATTTTTCTGATTTCAGTTGATGGTCTTGAATTTGTTTTTTTTTTTATATTCAATGATCAAGTGTCTTTTGGGTTCATGGAACAAGTCAAATTCGGTCAACAATTTTTCTTTTCTTTTCACTGGAACCAATGGAGTTTGTTGACCAAGGGTCCACTGATGAATATATATGCAGTAGAATTTCCGTTACAACGAATCTCATAACAAATTTTTTTCTTTGTCCTGGCAGTTTCCCGTAGGCGTAATGTTATAAAAATTTCGTTATAACGAATTTTTGCCATGATTCTGTGCACAGCCCATAAAGGGATTACTCTAGAAAGGGCAGAAATTGTTGAAAACATTAAAATATGCAGCATTACAACTTCATAAAAAAAAATCTTTATGCAAAGAAAATTTGCTGTCCAGAAAATAAACAACAGGACATCTTTTCTGAAAATTCTTTAGCTCATCCATTTTAGAATATGCCTTTTTCAAGTAAACAGTATGTTAGAAGAATGTTCCTCTATTTCAGAATGAGCCATGAGTGGATAAGTTGATTGAGAAGGAAATGGAGCATGTTTACCATATGTAATTTTGTTTTCATTTATGACCAGCAATTCGAATCCAGCAATTTTTACTGGATTGCAATACAAATACAGGAATCCAGTACAAATGTTTGTTTATTTGGAGGAGAGTGCTTATTATATCAATGGATTTCTCTTCATTTCATCAGAAGTAATAACTAATTAAGCTAGGTCTTGAATTCTGTGTTTTAGAAGGATTTTAAAATGTGTTTTCCCCATTTCCAGTAAAATTGCAGTCTGAAATGTGCTAAAAATCATTGATCTCGATACAGCGAATTTTTCGTTACAACCAATTTTTTCTCAGGTCCCCAGGAGTTCGTTGTAATGAGAATTTACTGTAGTATAAATTTAATTTTTTTTTTTGGTCTTCGTCAAAATAGTTTCCCGCGAGCCCAGTGACTGTGAATTCGTCGCTGAGTGGGGATGGCCAAGCGTTTCACTGCACCTACAACCGACAGCCGACCCCGAATTCCGACTCGAGTGGCGGGGACAGGATGGAAACGGGCCACTACTTCCTGGCCCAGCGGATGATCCCGGTGACCCGAGCCGATGGGCATCACGGGCATCCTCATCATCATCCTCATCATCTTCATCACCAACAACAGCAGCAGCAACACGTGTCGTCCTCCAACGTCCAGGTCTGGATCTTGGAATTGAAATAGAAAGAAAAAATAATTATAGTAGATTAAAAAATTGATCTAAAAAACCACGTTTTTCAAGTAAGACTAATCTAGCTAGTCGGGAAGTGAGCAAAATTTGAGTTGCAGAATTTGATCCGGACAAACAAACGGACAAGAAAGCGAGTTTATAAAAACGTGTTAATAAAAACGTGTTAAAAAAAGGAGGGAAAAGAAGAAGAAGGGATGAATGTTTTGTTTTGTTGGAGGGATTGTTTATTTGACGAGGGATTTTTCGTCATTATTTGTAGACGGATTTGACGATGAAAATCATGGGTGACATGGAGTCGCAGAGAGAGTCGAATATGGAGGAGCGGCAGCTGTTGATTGACGATTTGAAAAGGGTTTGTTTCCTGTTCATATTTATTTTTTATTATTCGTTTACACGGGCAAAAAAAATCTTGGGTTTAGAAAATTCTGTAAGCGCTCGGAAGATTTTTAAATCTTGTCGAGTGGCTTTTTTCTGGAATGAGAAAGCAGCACATGTTTTTCTCCTTGAAAATTTCCGTCAAGAAATAACCAGGGAAACAAAGAAATTTCAGATATCTCTCGATTTGAAATCAATGAATGTGCTGCGTTCGAAGAAATCAATAAGCAAAGGAAAGACATACGTCTTGCTAGAATATCCACAAATGATGGGAGAAAAACTCTGAGAAAAGCAAAAAATCAGCTTGCTTTTGATTATGAATTGCAGTGAATTTATCATGACATATTTTTTCAATTTTTGTGAATACTGTATGAATAACTTGATTTGTTTAAAATATATCAAAATTGAAAAGAAATATTACGATTGTTGGGGAAAATTTGAGATTTGTGTCCCTAACTTGAGCCAATGTCACGCCTGATTAATTTTTTTATTTTGGTTTTCAAGTGTATCCCAAGTCGAGTTGTCCGTATGTTGGGGTGTCCGTATATTGGGGTCTCATTGAGACCCCAACATGCGGACACCTAGACGTATGGACAATTTGACGTAGGGACACTTATTTTCCCATAACAAATCAATGAAAAAGGCCTGACATGAGGACACTACAACATAGGGACATTTTGAGATAAAATTGCAAATAAGTTTCATGCCAAATTAAAAAAAAAAAACAGATATTTCCAACCCTGAAATTAATGTAAGAAAAGTTCTTGGGCAATTCTCTCACCAATTTACCATCCATTTAGCTAATTAAAAAAAATTAACTCCACTGTAGAGGGACTTCCTTTGCTCTTTTTCACTTGAATGTTATTTTTTACTGAGAATGCCAACACATTTCTATGTACTGTATACAGAGGTATCAGTATTCAATTCCCCAAATGTCTATATTGTGTTGAAATATATATTGATTGAATCAGTTTAAATTGGGAGACAATTTTTATTTTTATGGAATTATGTTGAGTAATTTGTCCATAAAACACCAATTGAAAATTATATAACTTGAGTCTAAGGGAAAATGAGACTCAACTTGGGGACATTTCAACTTGGGTACACTCTTGATGCACTAATTACGTCCGCATCTCGGGGTCTCACTGTATTTTATTTATTTTGTTCTGCTGCAGGGTCGAGAAGAGGCCGAGCGGAAGTTGACAGTGTCCACCAAGGCCAACGATCAGTACAAGGAGCAGGTGGCCAAGTGCACCGAGTTCGTCAAGAAGCTGTTGGTGGAGAAGTCCACGATTGAGAAGAAGGAGATGCGGCAAAAGTGCATGCAGAACCGCCTGCGCCTCGGGCAGTTTGTGACCCAGCGCGTGGGCGCCACTTACCAGGAGAACTGGCAGGACGGCTACGCCTTTCAGGAACTCTCCAAGCGACAGGAGAGCATGCAACAGTTGCGGGAAAGCATCGACCGTTTGCGGAAAACCTTGTCCAAGAAGAAGGAAGGCGCCGCGACGGCGAGGAAGAAAACGGCGGCTGCTCAAGCTGCTGCTGCGGCGGCCCAGGCGGCGGCTGTAGTTGCTGCTGCTGCTGGCACTTGGGCGAATAGCGGTGGCCCAGGTGGTGGTGGTGGTGGAAGCAGCAGCGGCGGCGGTGGTGGTGCCGTGGTGATGGTGTCGGCGGCGACTGGGATGAACGCTTGTGGCGGCGGCGGAGCAGGAGGAGGAGGCGGCGGTGGTGGTGGCGGCAGTGGGAGCAATTCCAATGACTCGTTTTCGTTTCTCAAGCCGGACTCGCCGTTGAAGAAGGAACATCCCTGTTTGTCGCAGCAGCAGCATTACGAACAGGATGAAATACTCAAGGTTCGCGTCCTCCTCTTAACAGCGGAACTTTCTAGCTTTTTTAAATTTCTATTTTATAATTTTTGAATACGGTTGAAACTCGAACTTGCATATTTCGAATTTTCTTCGAGGTCCTGTCTTCTGAATTCCTTGAGTGAAAATTCTTTTGAAAACCTAATTATATTCCCCCTCGAACCTCCATAATTTGATTTTTTTTCTGGAAGCCTTATTTTATTGACTCAGAAGAAATATAAATAATGACATTGTAACTTCATGAGCTCGGAAAGGAATTGAAAAAAATATTCGGGCAAATTGAACCCGTGTCCAATATGTAATTATTTTTTCCGGAGCTGAAGGTATCAAGTTATGCGAATATTTTTCGTACCTTCGTGGAATTTAGCCTTGGATTGTGCTGAAATGTATGGCTAGCCAACTTTATACTGTAGTTTAAATTCTAATGTCGGTATATGGTGTTGGACGTGATAATTTATAGGATCTAGAGACGAATGACGTTATGCGAAGACGTTTCATTCAGTGTTGTTCTTTAACGCTTTTTTTTTTTTCTTTTCGTAGCTGAGGGCAAACAGCTACAAAAAAGAGGACGCCGCGTTGCAGTCGGAAGTGGAGAAGCTGGAGCAGGAGCGAAACCTGCATATCAGGGAGCTGAAGAGGATCATGAACGAGGACCAGTCGAGGTTCAAGGACCATCCAGTGCTTTGCGAGCGGTACTTGTTGCTCATGCTGTTGGGCAAAGGCGGGTTCTCTGAAGTCCACAAGGTGTGTGTGTATTGTTTTATGTTTTGGGGACTCGAGGAAGAAAAAAAAATTACAAGAAGAAAGTACCCTTTTAAACTAACGAAATGAATTTTTTCTTAAAGAATTAATGATACCTTGCTGGAAAGCAATCAGTCATGTTTCAACCTGACTTTGATGATGACTTGCAGTCGATTCGCAGGCTTTTTTTTAATTATTCAGAAATACTTTGAACCCTTTTTTTTTGCGAAGGCTTGTGCGATTTTTTGATGAGACATGGTTTTGAACTGTGCTAGACATTGAATGGAGAAGAATGGCATTTAATATTCCTCGTGTGTGTGTGTGTTTCTCTGACGCAGGCGTTTGACTTGAAAGAGCAGCGATACGTGGCTTGCAAGATACACGAGCTCAACAAGGACTGGAAGGACGAGAAGAAGGCCAACTACATCAAGTGAGTGTGTGGATGTGTATTCGGATTGTCTCTCTTTGTTGTTGTTGTGGTTGTTGTGGGGAATTCAGTCACCCTCGTTTGCCTATTTGCTCGACACTGTCTTTTTGAATGTGACGAGCAGAGAATCGGATGTTTTGGCATTTTTGGAGGGGAAAGGAAATTGTGTTGGACTCCACTCACTGTTGCTAATGAGAAGTGCAACGAGTGAACTAATTTCCGACACACATTATTTGCCTTGTATTCCTTCAGTGTAGGCATCAATTTTTTAACCCTAGAAAAGCTTAAATACGGTTGAATCTACATAGAACGAATTATTGGTCGCGAAGAATTCGTTCTTCAGGTCCCTGCGTAATCGCAAAAAATTTTATGCAAATCCCTGTACAAGGAAATAACCATTCTAACGAGATTTTACTGTATTTTCATGGTAATTTTTTGTTACATCGGTGTCGCCTGGATGTTTTTGTGCATCGTCAGGCTAAAATTTGGGTAGGTTAGTCCTTGAGCTGTGGAAATGGGTTTGTTAAATTGTATTATGATTTTTAAAAATTTTTGAAATGTTGATGCAAAATTCAAAAGTTTCGTTTTTCCCCCTCTCCTTTCAGACACGCGCTGAGAGAATACAAGATACACAAGAGTTTGGAGCACCCGAGGATCGTGCGGTTGTACGACGTGTTCGAAATTGATGCGAACTCGTTTTGCACAGTGCTGGAGTACTGCGACGGCCACGACCTGGACTTCTACCTCAAGCAGCACAAGACGATGGGCGAGCGGGAAGCCAGGTCGATCATCATGCAAATCGGCTCCGCTCTCAAGTATCTCAACGAAATCAAGCCGCCTGTGATCCACTACGATTTGAAGCCTGGTGAGTCCGTCAGCCAGTTGGATTTCTTGAAGGGGGGCATCCTAGAAAAGGTCTATGAAGAATCATGGTAGGAATGTATGTTCAGTGTAGTGACGTATAATCGTATATTACACTCAAACCGCGATAAGACGCCAACATTTGTCCAGAGATATTCTCGGCAGCTGGTGGTTTAGCGAAGAGTTCATAGTTTTTTTTTTTTTTTTTTCGAATATTGGGTTAAAATCGTCGGTTTTCCTCCACAAATGAGAGCAGAAATACTTGTTTTTTCGAAGCTTGATAAATTTTTCAAATAGTATTGCCTCAGGAGTAATCCTCGGGTGCCGAATATAAAATGAGCAATTATCAACGAATGAAATGCGCTATGGATTGGGTATGAATAACCAAACATAACCCCGAGTAAATTTTTCTGGACTTGTCCTTCGGATGTTTTCGATGTTGACGATCTTCATTTATTATTATTGTTATTTTATCCCTTTCATCAGAAGTTTGCCCTCTTCCACTTGAACTTGTGGTCTACTTGTACTTGCATTCGCATTTTTACTTCTTGGCACATGTTTTGAGTTGTCTCACGGGCATGTTTTTTTTTATGTTTTGTCTTTGTGTGTCGGAATAAAAGGGAATATTCTGATGACGGAGGAAGTGTGCGGGGAAATCAAGATCACGGACTTCGGCCTGAGCAAGATCATGGACGAGGAGAACTACAACCCCGACCACGGAATGGACCTGACCTCGCAAGGAGCCGGCACCTATTGGTGAGTTGGGGTCGAGTTCAGTTGAGTTGAGTTGTCGAGGGAGGTTTTGCTCGGCTCCCTTTTTTTTTTGTTTCTTCTTGTTTGCTGTTGCTTTTCGTTGACGTTGGGATTTCCTTGTAATCCTGGGCTCGACGGATTTGATTATTTCATTTCCTTTGCTGATGAAATGTGCGTGTGTGTGTGTGGGTGACGCAGGTATCTTCCTCCCGAGTGTTTCGTCGTGGGCAAGACGCCGCCCAAGATTTCCTCCAAGGTGGACGTGTGGAGCGTCGGTGTGATATTTTACCAGTGCCTGTACGGAAGGAAGGTGAGTTATTTGCTTTGTGGAATGTGTGTTGAAAGGAATTCTGTGACTGTGGTTGACGCCTACGTTTGTCTCTGATTCGTAGCCATTTGGACATAACCAGAGTCAAGCAACGATTTTGGAGCAGAACACGATCTTGAAAGCGACGGATGTCCAGTTCCCTTCAAAGCCTACTGTTTCGCAAGAAGCTAAGGTATGAGATGTTTGGAAAACGTTCGAGAGAACCATGTGTAATTTATTTATTTACCGGGATTAATTAAAAAAAAATCGCTTTCGAAACTGGAGGTAAGGCCATATTTTAGAGTTTGTGATGGAAAATTGGCTACGACGAGTTGTTGAAAACTTTTAATTTAAATTTCCTTCTTTTTCACCGTGTTTTCCAGTCTTCGTGATCCAAATATAAAGGTACTGAACAGTACCTTTGTTGACAATCAACCTCTTCAAACGTGGAAGTGAAAGTTCGAAACTTTGGTATCACCTTTAAATCATTCATGATGTAAAAACCTTCATAAGATGAGGTTTGAGTAACTTCTTAAATTTTTTTGCTTAAACTTGAAAACCTTGAAGGAAATCGCTGAAGATCATCGTCTGAAATCATGCATTGATGCAATGGATAAAGGGTTATGATGTGGTAGCCACCATTTTTTGTTCATCAGATATCACGTCAAGATTGACTTGGGTTTAGAAATATGTAATCTTCTGGACATTTTTTTGTATGAGCTGATTGATCAAACTGTCTTGATTTATGTTTAAAGCACGGATTTTCTGGAGTTTTGTGTTCTCATTCCGAGTTCGTTGAAACAAAAAACAAAAAATGACGTGAATGCAAATCAAGTTTGAAAACTTTTCTCTCTTGTGAAGTAGGTTCTAAGTCGACAAACTTCCTGAAGTGGTTGTCCTGAAGATTTAATTGTGGTCGTGGTGATGAGGAGGTTTTATTGCTTGTTCGTTCGCATTTCGTTGAGAAGTTCATTCCGGAAGTACGGTAGTAGGTTCACGATTTCCTCGTGAAATCCTTGCTACGATTAACCCATTTTTTACTTTTTGATTACAGTATCTTCTTGTCGGAAAATACTTGAGTGTACTGTCAGTGATCTGATTCTTGTAAAAATTTGCACAATTCTTCCTCTCCGATTCTCTGTCGGTTTTCCAAAAGAGTCGAAATGGCGGGATGTTGAAATTTAATGGACTTTGAGGGCGTTTTTGCAGAAGTACAATACGTTGGTAGAAGGATTTTTTGTTCGTTTTTCAGCTTGAATTGCCATTAATTTGCTTATATTGTCATATTTAGGAGACGGAGTTGAAAGTTTATGCGTCTTTTTTTCCCTGTTGATTTAAAAAAAAAAAAAAAAAAGAAATTTTGCGCGTTGTTCTGCTCGAGTAAATACTGTACTGTATCATTTTCACCGTTTTTAATCAAGTACCACATGCTTTCAAGTGAGAAAAACGCCCCGATTTTTCCTGTCCCCAAGTAAGAGGCGCAACCCATTTTTACAGACTGATGAGCTACAACATTTGAAAAATCAAGAGACATCTAAGTCCATATTTGCTCATGAATTCAATTAATTTTCAATTCGTTCAACGGCGAAAATCGTTGTAGAAGGGAGAGTTCAATTGTGTGCTCCGTTGTCTTGTCTAGGATTTCATCAGAAGCTGTCTGCAGTACAAAAAGGAGGACAGGATCGACGCCATTGGGCTGGCGAACCACGACTACCTGAAGCCGCCGGCAGCGCGGAAAGCTGGCCAAAAGACGTCCCAGTCTGCCGCGCAGTCGTCGTCGAGCCAGACGGCGTCCTCGTCGGCGGCGTCCGTCGGCCCCACTTCCTTCGCCTTTGTCAACTTCCAGAACAACGCCGGATGACGGCGGGCCCCAGGCAGCGGCTGCGGCAAGTCCGGCTGTGATGTGAAGCGTCGCCGCAAACGCGATCCTCAACTCGAAATGTGAACACGAAGAAGAAGAAAAGAGTATAATGATGATGATGATGATGATTATTATTATTATTATTATTTGTCTTGCTGTTTTTTTTTTTTTTTTTTTTTTTCGCGCGCGAGTGAAACATTTGGTTTTTCTTTTCACCTTTCCTGATGGTTCTCGTCTTTTCTTTTTCCTGTCAGTCTCTCATGATTGATTTTGTTGGTGTTGATTTCTCCATCGAATCTTTTGCTCTTTGAGGGTTTGGGAGAAGTCGGAAACAAGTTTTTTTTTTTTTTATTGGTTGATTCTTCCGCCATAAATTCGTCTTTTTTCCTCTCGGGGGGAAGGAATGGAATAATTCTGCCAAAGGAACGGAAAGGGCTTGGATTTTATCAACTGCCAAGTACAGTACTTCAAGTAATTTTTTTTTTGCGAGGTGGAGAGAGAGGGAGAGAAAGGAAATATTCCGTTGGTTTTTCTCCGTGTTGAGGACGAGGGTTCTGACCGCCAGAAACGCGTTCATTTTATTTTTTTTTAGACATGAGATGAAGATCCCGCTCTTTTTTTATTATTATTATTAAGGAATTTTTTTGGAATTTTGATGGCGTTTTAATTTTAACAATGAAAGTTTTTGGTGGAAGAGACAAATTTTGAGGTTTAGAAAATCTTAGTTGTCGTGATCTAAAGTCGTCCGAAGTCTCGTTCGTGATTTTACAGTTCACTCCCTTTTTTTTCATCAGAAATTCTAAGTGCTGGGGGTTTTTTTCCGGATATAGCCAAAAAATGTAACGCAGAAAAAAAACCTTCTGTATGTCTGAATAATGGTCTGATGGTTTTCAGGCAAAAGTTTTGAAACTGGACAAAAGAATTTGGTTACTGTATCACCATTCTTAAAACCTGCATGTTTTTTTTTAAGAAATAAATTTGATAATAATTTACTTGTGTGAAAGATGCACATTGTAGGTTTTCCTAATTTGATTGATCAAAATTGTTCATTGTGAAAATAACGGAGCTTAGGAATTTGGTATTCTTTCAACAATTGCAAAGAAGGATTGAAAATCAATTTACTGTATTTACTCAAGTACCACGTACCCTCAAGTAAGGCACGCACAGGGGTTTTTCAGTTGGAAATTTGGCTAAAAATCTTATACCCAAGTAAGACGCGCACCCCAATTTTTAGTGAATCTAAAACCACAAAATTTCGAAAATAAATTCAAAAAATTTGACTTTAAGACATGAATTGAACAAAAATTGGATCAATTTTCAACTAAATCTTATACCCAAGTAAGACGCGCACCCCAATTTTTAGTGAATCTAAAACCACAAAATTTCGAAAATAAATTCAAAAAATTTGACTTTTAAGACATGAATTGAACAAAAATTGGATCAATTTTCAACTTTTTCAGTACAAAAAAGTTTTCTTGTTACATTTGTTTGAAATTTCTCCTTTATAAGTAAGTATAATGCACACATAACTTCCTTAAACTTATCAAAAAATTTGTCCATGCTTATGACGTGCACCCATTTTTTTCTTCTGAAGTTTGAGAAAAAAGGTGCACATGGTACTCAAGTAAATATGGTAATTCAACTCAAATTTAAAGTCCAATTCAGATTTTAATCCCTGGTAGGTTTTGAAAAATTTTATTTGTACAGTATGTGAAATTTTAAATTTTCTGGCAAGTGATTGAAGTATGATGTGCACCCATGAAAAAATTTCATGAACAACTTTTGCCTGTCTATGATACAAACTTCAGTTAATTTTTGCAATAACGAAAAAATGTGCATGGTACTTGACTGAATATGATATGTAACTTGAATTTCAATAGTAATTTTGCTTTCTTTTTCCTCTCTTTTTTTTTTTTATATGCAGAAGCTCATCAGATTCTTAGAGAATAATCCCTCTTCAACCTATGTGGGTGATTTTCGTGTACCATTTGTAGTTTCACCCTTTAATATGTTATATTTTAATATGTCCAAGGAGAATTTACAAGAGAATGAGGAATTCTCTTGATTATTTCAGTTTAATGAAGCGAACTTCCACAAAATGTTTTCATTTTCCTTTCCTACAGGAAAAAGTTGTGGAGAGACTGAAATTCATGGGTTCAGCGTTCTGTAAACTGGTTTGACAAAATATACTGTACTCAAAACATATCGTGGCTGGGCTGGAGGATAAAATTCTTTGGTCAAAGGTCTTTGGTCACAGATGTCACGTCTCATTTGACACTTTTGTTGTGATAACCATGAGTCTTCGGCTTGATGCTTTCCAGGAAGGCTTGCGTTTTTATGATTCCATTTCCGTTTTATGCATCAGAACATTTTGTGGCTGTGGGGGGAGAAAAAGAAAAGAGCGACACCTGGCGGTCAGAATCATGCAACGGCCTCCCAAACTGGAAACTGAAAAGTTTTTCAAGAAAATCGGTGATTTCTCCTGCGCATTTGACGCATTTTTTTTTACAGATCATCCAGTTTGTGCTATTCAGGAAATGGGATGAATCCTCTTTGATTTTTGTTGCTTCATGTGTATGTATACTTTTTTTTTTTCCAGTTCGAATCACACTCAGACGAGCCTTTGAACGTTCAATTTCCGATCTCTCCTCTCGTGCTAACGGAGTTGTTGCCTGAAAGCGAATTTATATCGCTCGATTTTTATTTTCGAAGTGCGACGGCGTGAAAAATTTTTTTTTCCTCGAGAATTCAGGGTTTGTTTGTTTGTTTTTTCCCCCCACCCGAGACCAGTTTTTTGTAATGTTTTTCTGCGTCTTGGACTGACTGCCTGAAACAAAGACAGTCTCAAGGTTGTGTGAACGTGATTTCCGTTATTTAGTGATGACGGTGAACGAAATTCTGACTTGTTCGACTTATTCTTTCCAGAGTGGCTGAAATTCCAGTGAAATCTGCACTTGCGTTCCTGTACAGTGAGTATCATTTGGGATTACCCCTGTTGAACAACAATGAATGATTCAAGTCGAATTCAGAGCAATAATTTTTGAACTTGCTGTTTTTGGGTTTGTATTGAAAGTTTATAAGTTTTGTATCAATTTTTTTATCGATTACTATATTTGCACCAGTGTGTTTGTCGACATTTTAAAAATAAAATTATATGCCCCCAGGAGGACATGCTCCCCATTTTTTATTACTCTCAAACTGCAAGTTTTCAAAAATGGTAACACCAAAATTTGCATGTATACATGATTTGATCCTGAAGTTCAACTAATTTTCAATTATTCCTATTGCAGAAAGTCTTCTGAAATTTGTCCATTTTTTCTAGTTTTAAATTAAAAATACTGTTCACCTGAACTTACACAGGGTGGAAATTGTGTTGAACAGTTGAACCTCAATAAGTCAAATACCTCCCTAACTTGAATTTTTTCAAGTCCCTGTCTGGATTCCCTTAGAAACAATGCATTAAAAACCTCCCCAACTCAGTCTTTTTCTCTAAAACCTGCGTAAGTGGAATTTTTTGTGGCTTTCTGGTTATTATTTCCTTGGAAAATGAGAGAACATCATTTAAAAAATAATTTGTGCATCTTGAAAGGAAGTGAAAGATTGAACAAATGAACCCCTGCCTCAAAGTTCAGCAAGCTGTAAACTCATCAAGAAGCAAGATTAAGCCCTGAATATCCTCATGAACAATTTCCTGATTTTTGAGAAAATCATTCTTTAAAATGTATGCTCTCAAGCCTCAGTACAAGAGGAGCTCACATTTTCAGCTATGGGTGCATACCACCACATCAGATAGGAAAATGCTGTGTCAGCACAAAGAATGAGCTCTGCATTCTACCATGTGCAATATCTAATGAACTGAAACAAACAATATAGAAATTTGCCTCAAGCAAGAAAGAAACATTGGTCCATCAGTTCATGGACCAGTTGTATCTTGCCACCCACCTCCTGTAATCTGTGACAAGATGGCAAGAGTCTGAGGCTGGAATGCAAATTCAACTGTTGGTGACATCTAGGGTAGCCAAGCTGTAACTTTCATACAAGGGGTCCCTCAGCTACAAAACATCTGTTATTCCAGTAAAATAAGTCATTTTTTGCTGAGGGCAATTCTTGTGGAAGGTACTGGGATACTCAAAACAGGAAAATATTTTTCCAGCAAACTTCAAAAAGAGGTGTAGAAACATTTGCAGGGGGGTTTAGATGGCTTTATATACACGTGCATGCATCTAGGTTAAACCTTTTTAGGAAATCAGAGAATAAACACAGTACTGTACATCAAAGCCTATAAATTTGTAAATAATATTTAAATTTTTTAAGAAGAATTTCATTTTTTAATAAAGAATTTCTATGTTTTGAAATAAAGAATTTCAATTTTTAAAGAAGAATTTCAATTTATAATGAAGAATTTCAATTTTTAATGAAGAATTTCAATTTTTTAATGAAGAATTTTACTTTTTTTATCAAAGAATTTCAATTTTTAATGAAGAATTTCAATTTTTTAATAAAAAATTTCAATTTTTTAATAAAAAATTTCAATTTTTTAATAAAAAATTTCAATTTTTTAATAAAAAATTTCAATTTTTAATGAAGAATTTCAATTTTTCAATGAAGAATTTCAATTCTTTTTAATAAAGATTTTCAATGTTTTGAAATAAAGAATTTCAAATTTTTATGAAACAGTGAGGAGAAGCTCAGAATGTAAAATACACTCCTGTTTTTTGAATCTGCCCTATTTCAAATTTACTAATTTTACTCAAATAATGTGAACTGAAACAAAAACTGCACAAAAATAAGACCACTAATTAATTTATAATAACTACATCAGCTTCCTTAAATTTAGAAATTTTCGTTCAAGCATGATTTTTTTTTTTGTGGAAAGAATATGTGCTTCTTTATTGATCATTAGCTTTCCAGAAATGTGTAGAAAGATTTCAAATGAATGAACTAAGGCACTTTGCAAAGATGCTACCGAAAGCCCCATCATTATATTAAAAAAAAACATT